TCCCGCCCCAGCGCCTTGTTCTGCCCCGCCCCGGGCCGCGCCCCTCCGCCGATGCCCGTCTCGCCCGCACATCGCCGCCTCGCGCGGGGCCTGCCCTCAGGCCCTGTGGGCTCTGCACCGCCGCCGGGAGACTGGCGCCCTCCAGTCACTCCGGTACCCGTCCGCCGTGTCCCCTGGGCAACTGTCTCCAGGGAGACCGAGCCCGCCCCTGCTACCGACACCCGGTACGAAGCCCACCTGTGCGGGCGTCAGTGGGGGTCCCTGTAAGCCCCACTGGCCAGATGCTCCGCCCCGCCCAGCTCTGGGCTTTGTCAGTCTGGGTCCGGGACTGCAGGGTGGGAGGCCGCCGGGGGTCCGGGGTGGCGGGGCTTGGGGGGTTGGCTAGGGGAGGCCGGGTGCGCCCAGGGTGACAGCACCCCGCTGGGGAGGTCGACCCCTAGGGTCGCGCCCGCGGGTGAGAGTCTCTGGTGGGGGCCGAGTTGCATCTTTTTGTGGCTCTCCGAGACCACAGAAGCCCGGGTGTGTCTCGTGCCGCCCTTGATGGCATGCTCAGGACCCGGAGTGGGCTCCGGAGAAGGACACACTTGCTTGAGACAAGCTGTTTACTTGTCAGGGACCATGCAACGCTGTGCGCGTCCGCCCCTCCCCCTGCCCCCCATTCCGGACCTAGCATCCTGCGCGCTCCGTCCCTCCCTAGTCCTCCCTTCCCAGCTTTGCCCTTGAACCAAGAGGGGCTACAAGGAAGTGTCCCCAGGCCCCGGAGGTCCTGTCCCTCTTCCTCCATAAAACTCAGCTTCTTTGCGATCACCCCCTGGTGAATTTTGTCCTGGCCCCTTTTTTCGCGACCTGGATTCCTGAAGAGGAATCCTTCCCTGGGCTCCATCGTGCGTTTTGCTTTGTCTTTCCTGTTTTGAAAGCCACTTTCTCTCTGCTCGCCTTTCCTTTCCACGCTGCTTGTTTGCTTTGCGTTTTCTAGTATTGCTGTTTTCACTAGTCAGGAATGGAAGTTATTTCTTATTTAGTCTTGGGCCTATGCTTCCGGTTCCTCTGTTGATAGTTTCTTGGGAAGCTCCGGTGGTCCTCCCTGGATGCTGAAGGAAGGGTGCATCCACACCCACTTGCCTGGGCCCCTGCAGAAGAGTCTGTTGAGCATCCTTCCAGGGCCTGGACTGGCAGGTCCGAGGACTTCAGCTTGGAGCCTGGGAAATGCGTTCCTCTAATACCATTTCCAGTGGACTCCTGGGGCTTTGGTTTTTGTCTGCGGAGAAGTCAGTGATTAGTGAGTTGTTTTGTTTCTATTGGTCAGCCCTTCCCAGTCCACCTAGTGGATTCCAGGCCGAAGTGTCCCCCCACCCCCACCCCACTTTGAGGTAGCTGTGCGGAGAACCAGGGTTGGGAAAGGGGAGGTGAGGAGGAAACGCCACCATGCAGTGAGCAGGCAGCCCCTCCCCTCACACACCTCCGGCCTTACAGAGATGAATTTTCCTTTTGGATTTGGCTTTGAAAACAGATCTGCATGGGGAATCAAGGTCTCAAGTTCAGGAACCTACTTTTTTTTAAGCCATGAACGGAATTCAAACCCAGGCATGGTTCAGATCAATTACTTTGCTTTCAAAACCCAACAAACTAAAAGACCTTCTAAAAGGTCTTTCTAAAAGACCTTCTGAGTCATCTCTATCTGTATCCCTGCCTCAGGCTCTGGAAATGCTCCTGTGGTTTGCCTTCGCGCCACCAAAGGGAGCTGGGGTGACACTGATGCAGGTGGTGAGGGGGGTTGATCAAGCAAAATGGGAAGGGTTTGCAAGAGGGGAAACTGAGGTGAATCAGCTGCTTTTCCCCTCAGTGCTGGGGGTTTACATACTAGGCAAACACTCTACCACTACAAGATCTTATCCCTGTCCAAGGATAAGATCTTGTATTGAGAATGGACTGGTTTCTGAAATTCTGTTTTTAAATTATTCTTTCTTTTCAGATATATAAGGAGCTCAGAGTCAGGCAAAGGTGGGATGAAGCTTACTGATGTCTATGCACTTGTAATCTCCCAGGCAGAGGGACCTTGGCTGGTGGTCTCTCTTGGCCCATCCCAGAAAGGTAGGTTGCAGGGAGGGAGCCATATGTACCAGGAAGAGAGATTTATTGTGTTGTGATAAGAAACTGAAGAAAACCTACCCTCTCTGGCTCGTTTATGGGGACCTGTACCCCAAAGGAAGGCTGGAGCTGGAGCTCAGTAGTAGCATGTGTGGCTCGGTACTAGACTCGGGTTCAGATCCTAGCACAGAAAAAAGAAAAAATTGGGAGAATGACTCAGTTTTGTGCTAGGAATGAATGAGGGGAGTCATCACTGGACTGTCTGAAAGAGGGGTGCTGCTGCCTGGGGAGAGAGGGATGACTCGCTTTTGACTGGGGTGCTTGGAAGCCTTTGGTTAGCTGTAGCCTTTGGTATTTGATTTGTTTTAATCATAGGGGTTTTGGTCTATTTGGAAAAAGAAACATTAAAACATTTTTACCAAAGGAAGTAGGTTGAATTTTTATAGTGCAGTATTATCTTTCAAGGTGTCTTTAGGTAGGACTTCTGTGTCTATAGGAGTTGGCAGTCACTGGATCAAAGCTCTTTGGAGCTTCTGAGCCATTAACCCTGGAGAAGATTGATGCTTTTTCATTGTGCACATGAAGAAACTGAAGCCAGAGACTGACACTGACTGGACATTGGCCAACACGTTTCCCCAGTCTGGGATCCTGGGGCAGCTGGGTGTGGGTCGCAAGCTCAGTGATGCGGAGGTCTGGTGTTTCCCTTTGTAGGCCGGTTGGGCAAATGATAATTCTGTGCGCATGCAGAACATTCTGCCTGAACAGCTGCTGTCATTTCGGGAAGATTGTAGCAAGGGTGGTGTTGGGTGAGGCTTTCCTCAGCCGCTGCCTCACTGTCTCTAGGTCTTCCTTGGTACTTGCTGAATTTGTGGTTGGTTGTGGGTCTCTTTTAAAACTAAAATATTAAGTAGAATTTTAATGTTGGAAGCAGATAGACACAGAACCACTGTGGTGGAAGTAGAACCCCTTCACATAGCGTCCTGCCCGACTCACACCAGCCCGTGAAGGCCCCAGGTGTATCATCCCTGAGTATAGATGTAAAGGAGATGGTGTAGACCTGTGTTGGGAGATCACAGGTTTATATATATACTTGTTTACATATCTTGATCTTTGTTTCTGAAAATGCCTTTGAAATTTTAAAAAATGTATTATTGTGTATATGTGCATGATGTGTTGGGGATCATGTGGCCCACTTCTGTCATAATGGCACACATGTGGAAGTCAAGGGAAACATTGTGCAGTTGTTTCTCTTTGCACTTTTATTGAGGAGCAAGTTCAGGTCTCCAGCTGTGTCACCTTTACCCACCATTTTGCTGGTCCAGAAAATACCTTTAAATAATTACTTTTGACCTTTATGTTTTTTAATTTATGAAACATGTATTTACTGTTGAAAATTTGAAAGATACAGAACACACTGCTCTTCTATAACCTTAGCTCTTAAGAAGAGCCAGCATTTCCATGTTGAAGTATTCTTCCCTGAATCTCACAGGAAATTTTCTATGTAAATATCTTTTAAAAATTGATTTTTAGGCTGGGCTTGGTGGCGCACGCCTTTAATCCCAGCACTTGGGAGGCAGAGGCAGGCAGATCTCTGCGAGTTCAAGTCCAGCCTAGTCTACATAGTGAGTTTCCGGCCAGCTTGGGCTACAGGGAGAACCTGTCTCAAAAAGACCAAAAAAAATTAAATTAATTAATTAATTAAAAATAAAAGATCAAGTTGTTTTTCTTTTTACTTTGTTTTGTTCTTTTGTTTAATGCCATTATGGGGAGAGATGGCTTAGTGATTAAGAGCACTGACTGTTCTTGCAGAAGACCCAGGTTCGAATCCCAGCACCCACATGGCAGCTAACAACTGTCTGTAACTCCAGTTTCAGGGAATCCGATGCCCTCTTCTGTCCTCCTCGGGCATTGCATGATACAGATGCACTTGCACATATGCAGACATAACACTCATACACCATACGTGTAAAATAAAAAAATTAATTTAAAAATAGTTTAAAAATTATTTGAATGAATTGTCTATGTCTGTTTCAAAAGTCCACTAAAATGAAAATCTAGAAGTAAAAAGTAGAGGGCTGGGGATATAGCTCAGTGCTGGAGTATTTGCTGCCCTAGGTTCAATTCCAGGACCACATTGCAGAACGGAGTGGAAAGAGTGTTAAGAGCGAGAAGACAGGGAGGAAGGCTACCACATGCCTTCTGGATAAGACGCCACGGCCATTGCAGTCACAAATCAGCAGCCGTGGACACCTGCACTGGGTCTGCACAAGAATGGGCCTGTCAGCAGTCAGGTGTGGATGGAGGAGGGGCTCCGGGGCTCTACCCCTCACTGCTGAACTCATTGCTACAAATAGATTCCGGAAGAGGAGGAGTCACTGTCTTCAGCTCTGCACACACTGGTGACCCCAGCAGGCTCCAAAGAATAGTTCCAATCCATCGATGGCCCTGGTTAAACTAAATGGCCCTCATGAAACAAAATAAAAAAACATGAATCTGGGAAAGGGACTGGTAGGAAGGAGTGGGGGGGGTGACAGGAATGGAAGAGAGAGAGAGGGTGATGGGAGGGGACACTCAGAATGCATTATATATTGTCAATGAACAAAGTTACTTAAAAAAAAAAATAAAGCCAGGCAAAATGGCACATGTCTGTAATCCCAGTACTTGGAAAGCTGGGGAAGGAAGATATTTGATGCTCAAAAATATATCAATAAATGATAAAAAGGAATCAATGTAAACTCTTTGGAAAAGACAAAAGTAAATGACAGGGTATATATGAATAAAAATGTTCAAAGATCTGTGCATGGAGGCACATGTCTTTAATCCCAGCTCTGGGGAGGCAGAAGCGGGCAGATCTCTGTGAGTCTGAGGCCAGCTTAGTCTATATAGTGAGTTCCAGGCCAGCAGGGGCTACATAGTGAAACCCTGTCTCCAAAAACAGAACTCCAGGAGACTAGTATTCACTTTGCCCTTAGTGATCTGAGGACCTTCCCCCAGGTCCCACCTCTTAACAGCACCACATTGAAGATCAGGAGTCCAGTACACAACAGGGATGAATCCTATCCAAGCCATAGGAAACGCTTAACCTGTGGGAACTGGAAAGTGCTTGCTTCTTAGAGCCAGGACCTTTGACCTGGGCTTTGTCTGTGTCGTGTTTTGACAGTGAACAGAGGACCGAAGTGTGCTCTGTCCATGGCTTTGGGGATGATAGCAGTTAGTGGATTGCAAGGTTGAGTTCTTGGCACAGAAGTATCGGGTAAAACTGGTACCCAGGACTCAGTAGCAACCATAATAGACTTACTGCCACATTGATTCTACATGTGGTGTCCAGTGCTGCCGCTGTTTCTTTTTTCTTTTTTGGTCTTTTTGAGACAGGGTCTCTCCCCCCGGCTTTATAGTTGTTGAACTTTTGTTTTTCCTGGAGTTCATAGTTGCCTCATCTTTTTATTGGCTTCATTTTCAATGTACTGATCACCAATTTTCCTCAAATTCTCCAACAAAACTATGAAACTTTCTTCTCCTTCCCTCCTCGTCCTCCCTCTTTCCCTTCTCCCTACTTACCTCTCTCTCTTCCTTCCCTTTTTTTTTTTTTTTTTTTTTTTTTTTGTGTGTGTGTGTGGTATTAGAGATAGAACACGGGGCCTTGTGCATCCTAGCCGAGCATGCTGCCACAGTTTATTTTCTAAAGCAAACAATTAAAAGCTTAAAATTAAGAAATACAGTATAAATCTGTTATTTAGACATACAAAGATAAGCACTCAAAGAGACGATGGAAATTTATTGGGAGTTGTATATGTGCAGAAGAGGGGGCCAGGGGATGGCTGTTTGCTATGAGTTTTAGGGTTTTTTGGGGTTTTTTTTTTTTGGTCTTTTTGAGACAGGGTCTCCCTGTAGCCCCAGCTGTCCTGGAAATTGCTCCATAGACCAGGCTGGCCTCAAACTCACAGAGAGCCACCTGCCTCTGCCTCCCAAGTGCTGGGATTAAAGGCATGTGACACCACACCCAGCATGAGTTTTAGTTTTAACTTTTTTTGTTTTTGTTTGAGACAGGGTCTCACTGTGTTGGCCTGGAACTCACTATGTAGACCAGGCTGCCCTTGAATGCACAGAGACCCACCTGCCTCTGCCTCCTCAGTGCTGGGATTAAAGATGTATGCCACCACACCTGGCCAGTTTTAATTAATGTTTGAAATCATATACTTGCATACTTTTCATAGACATTAAAGTTGTGACATCCATATCCATTGATAATATGACTTCTTTGTTTTTGAGACAGGGACTCGTGTAGCTCAGGCTGACCGTGAACTCACTCTTTAGCTAAGGTTGGCCTTGAACTCATGATTCTCTTACCCTTACATCCCAAGTGCTGGGATTGCAGGTGTGTAACACCATACCCAGCTTAAAAGCTTGTGGGTTTTTTCCTTGGTGCTGGGAATTGAACTTAGGGCCTCATACATGCTTGGCAAGCACTCTACCACTGAGCTATATTTTTGGCCCTTTTTTCATGTTTTTCCATGCTTTTTGGAGTCATTTGTCCATGAGCATATGTATCAATGAATATATATGCATTTTGGTTTCAGTTAATTTTATCTGCTGAGTTGTATAGTGCGAGCAGGTGTCATTTTAATTAATGCGTTCAATTCCATTGAGCCGGTGTGTGGCGATAGTTTATACCGAGCCATTTCCTTATGATTTTTATTCTTTCCTTCTCTCTTTCTCGCTCTCTCTCACGTATGCTCTCTCTCTCTCTCTCTGTGTGTCTCTGTCTCTCTCTCTCTCTCGTGTGTGTGTGTGTGTGTGTGTGTGTGTGTGTGTGTGTGCGCGCGCGCGCGCATGTGGAGAGATTATAGGACAATTGTGGGTGTCAATTTTCTCCTTCCACCCCATTGGGTTCCAGGGATTGAACTCAGATTCTTAGGCTTGGTGACAAGTGCCTTTACCCACTGAACCATCTCACCAGCCGCCTTCTTCCTCCTCTTCCTCCTCCTCCTCCTCCTCCTCATTAT